AAAGGTCTTGGAGAGAGCAGGGATACAAGGAACATACCTAAACATAATAAAGGCAATATACAGCAAGCAAGCCAACAGCCAACATCAAACTAAATGGAGAGAAACATCATTTTTACTTTTTGTTTGGTTTGCCTGCCTATATTTCCTGCCTGGCCAATCAGCATTTATTTATAACATGATTGACAAAATACAGACAATTCTCCCACACCATTACGGAGCTCACAATACCCTCTGTTGCCTTCCCTTTCCTACCCAAGCTGGGGAGGCAGCTTTCTGCCCCAGAAGCCATCACATGGTTCTGCTTGGGCCCTTTGCAGCCCCTGCCTCGGTACATGGCTGGGGAAGATTTCCGATAATAACAGCTCCGCACTGAGCTTCTGGTCTTGGCTTCACACCTCTTGCCATTTAGATTAGCACCAAAAGAAAATGTCACAAGTGACTTGTGAAACCTGACGCCTCAAAGTGTCAGAAGTTTGACCTGCAGGGAAGGAGTCTCCAAATACACAAGGGCCTGGCATTGCAGAAAAAAACTGAGGCCACACAGCCTCATGAGTGAACTGAGTCAGTGAGTGAACTGGCCACCATGATTTTGTGGGGTGATATGAAAAACACAGGAAGAACTCTACCCTCTGGCGGGTCCACATAGAGCCCAGTCCCCTGCTGACCTCTCTGCCATACCCTGCCTGCCAACAGCACATACTCAGACCCCTAACTTGCAGGTTCACCAAACTCTAGAGATTGCTATCCACATACCCCACCCTCAGACTTCCAGACCCTAACCCAAGTGGCAATCAGTATGGGTGACCCTAAATGAGCCTTCCGTTCTGCAAGCTTGTTTCCTCTCTGTAAAAGAATAACCTCATTCTTCTCCTTCCTCTTCCTTACTCACCATCACCTTCCAACTACAGGATTAGTTCAGAGCTGTCTGGCCAATCAGAGAACCCCAACCAGAGCTCACAGGCTTTAGGGGTCAATAAGAGCCTATCTTCTGAACCTTCTCACCTTTAAGTGACCTCCTCACATTCCTCCTCTTTTTTTCTTGTCTTTGTTTCTAGAAGAGTCCTGATTGGGTACACTGCAAGGAAGTGATAGGTTAGGGATTCACTGAAGTACTGCTTACTGAGACTTGCTTTTTGAAATCAAGGTGCTGGGGCTAGAGAGATGACTCAGTGGTTAAGAGCACTTGCTGCTCTTGCAGAGGACCCAGGTTTGGTTTCCAGCATCCACTTGGTGGTTCCACAGCCTCTGTAACTCCAGACACCCTCTCCTGGCCTCTGCAGACCCTGCACACATGAGGTACACATACATTACATGCCTGCAATCAAAACACGTCCATACATAGAATTAAAGTAAATAATTTGTTTGTTTTTCAAGACAGGGTTTCTCTGCAAAGCCTTGGCTTCTTTGAAACTTGCTCCTCAGACTAGAATGGCCTTGAACTCAAAGAGATCTACCTGACTCTGCTTCCCAAGTGTTGGGACTAAAGGCAAGCGCCACCACTGCCAAGCTTGGTAAATTTTTTTAAGACAACAAGGTGCTGAAATTTGTATAAGCCTGGAATAGGGAACTGGAAAGAGCACCTGGCAGCCATAGAGACATGAAACCTATGCAAGAAGGAAGAAAAAGAAAGGAAGGAAGGAAGGAAGGAAGGAAGGAAGGAAGGAAGGAAGGAAGGAAGGTTCCAGGATGGAGAGAGAGAGTCCTAGTGACACCCTGAAGTTCTTACCCCAGGCAAATTGAGTCTAGAGTCTCTTTCAGCCATCCTGTTTGGTCTCCACCTACTCCTGGAAGTCTTCAGAAGTGAGGAGACAGTTCTGGCCACTCATCTGATGTGCAAAAGAAAGTGGGAAATCCCTCGGAGCTGCTGAGTGAGGCAGAAGGCAGTGAAGGCCATCCTTGAAGATGGGAGGACGCAAGCTTTGCCGGAATATGGCTTTGAGGTGTCCATCAAGCTCACTCCAGAACCAGCTCTGCCGATCAGCTCATGCTGTTCCTGGATTAGGGCTATGGATAAATAACAGCCCAGGGTCTCAAGTTGAAAATGTCTTCTTTTCCCCTCCCTGCCTCCCAAGGCAAGGCACAAGGCCTGATCTGGGGTCAAGAGGTTGGGGCAGGGATGAGGTACAGATGGGCCCAAGGACAACCAGCAGAAGCCAGTTTTCCACCATGGAGATCAAACTCAATTTGTTGGGCTTGGAAGTAGGTACCTTTTACCCCCGAGCCATTCCACCTGTTCAAGGTGAGCTTTTGCTTTTTTTAAGAGTTATTTATTTTATCTTTATGTGTGTTTTGCCTAAATGGATGTATATGTATCATGTGTATATCTGGTACCCTCGGAGTTCAGAAGAGAATGTCAGATTCCCTGAAACTGGTGTTACAGACAGTTATGAGCCATGCTGTGTAGGTGCTGGGAACTGAACCCAGGTACTCTGCCAGAGGAACAAGTGTTCTTAATGAGTTTTCTCTCCAGCCCCATATTTCCTTAAAGTTTGTTTTGGTTTGGTTTGATTTAGTTTAGGTTTTGTTGGGTTTTTTTTTTTTAAGACAGGGTCTCCCTGTGTGGCCCCGGCTGCCCTGAAGTTTACAGTTATCCTGCCTCTGACTCCTGAGTGCTGGGATTAAAGGTGTGTTCTACCACTCCCAGCCCTAGATGGGCTTTTTAATTAGAACACAGTCACCCAAGTCAAGGCTGCATCCCCGGCCTCCCTTGCAGCTAAGATTGCTGTGTGGCCTCCCTTGCAGCTAAGATAGTCGTGTGATTAAATACCAAGCAGAGGAGATGAATAGATACCATCGTCAGAGCGAGCATCCCTTTGGGGAACATCACCCCCCCATCTCTCTGCTGCTTAGCTACTCAGGATGCATGGGAACCAGTTCACACTGAGCAGGCAACATCCCAGGTGTGGCAAAGCAACCAAAGGAAGCTTGGGTTCCTGAGTGGAAATGGCCACCAAGCCATCTCTGGACAGCCTCCTGCTTTAGGACCCTGTTGTCTGGCATTTTGGTGACTAATTTTATCTCCTAGACTGTCCTCTACTCCGGGGATTCCAGTTAACATGTCTAATTAGTCGCAGCTGGAGAGCTGGCTCAAGCTCTTCCAGAGGACTCAAGTGTGGCTCCCAACATCCAGACCAGGTGGCCCACAACCACCTGTAACTCCAGCTCCAGGGGATCTGATGTCCTCTTCTGGCCTCTGAGGGTACCTGCACACATGTAGCATACATGTACAAAACACACAGATAAATAAAAAAAATCTTTAAGACAGTGTTTGATCATCCAGATATTTACTTTGTGTTTGTGTACACAGTTATTATGTAGGTATGTGTGTGTGTACATGTGTGCATATGGACCTGGTGGTCACCCTCATGGGCCATTTCTCAGAAGCCATCCACCTTGTTTGCTTTGTAAGTATGTGTGCATGGGGTGTGTGTGTCTGTGTGTGTGTGTGTCTGTGTGTGTGTACAGCAGATGTGCACACCCATGCAAGCACATGTAGAGGCCAGAGGTCAGTATCAGGTCAACAACCCTCTCTACCTTATTGTTTTTGAGAGAGGGCCTTTCACTGTATCTAGAGCTAAGCATGTTAGTGATGTTGGCTGGCCAGGAAGCCCCCAGGATTCCCTTGCTCCCCAGCCTCCCTCACCTAGTGTTAAGGAGACAGATGCATGCCACTGTACCCAGATTTTACGTGGGTGCTGAGGACCCAAGCTCAGGTCCTTGTGCTTGCACAGTTTGAGGCCAACCTGGGCTACACGAGACCCTGTCTAAAACAAACAAACAAAAAAAGCAAGTTTGAGGATGTAAAACAAAACATTGTGATTATCCTGGTAGGAGAAACCGTTGATGCTGCTGGCTTCTCGTGGGTAGAAATTCCAGATGTTGGACATCTTCCTGCAGTCACAGGACACTCCCCTGCCTCCGGCCAACAATGGTCCATGCTGTCGGTTGAGAATCTCTGCTCACCTTTCCTGAGGTTTGGTGTTCCCATCACCAACGTGGGGACCACCAAGCGGTTGTGTTTTTCCCGAGTACCCAGATAGGCACCACCCTGCTTTTGAGAAAGAGCAGTCCTGCAGAGGGAGCCATGAAACCTTTATTAGACACAAAGATGGAAGCCACAGCAGAAGAGAGAGGTGAAGTCTGCTCATTTGTGCCACAAAGTCAAGTAATGTCTCCACACAGGAGGAGCTTCCAGGGTGGGCAGCCGAGGCTAGGCTCAGTCCCGGAAGTGCAGCATGGGACAGAGAGGGGGCATGGGCAGGGGCTCCTGTCGTCCATCTCAGCCTAGGGGAAGGGTGGAAGACTCCAGCAGAAGGAAGGCGCTGGAACCTGCTGTGGACAGACCTCCCACTGCTGCGTGCTGCGTAGAGCCCACTCCACGCTCATCACTGCTTCCTCTGCCAGGGCCCCCATTCTCTCTCTCTCTCTCTCTCTCTCTCTCTCTCTCTCTCTCTCTCTCTCTCTCTCTCTCTCTCTCCCTC